AACAAGCTGCTTCCCTTCCAACAAAGAAAGAACGCCAAACTTTACAAAAGAAATTTATCTGACTTAATGAGTAAGCATCCAAACGCTGGAAAGAGGACAGAGAGGAAAATCAGAGTCACTTGGATTTATGAGGCAGACTTCTGAATTTATCTGTGAAAAGACGGGAGGTCAAAGAAGGGAGTGTATTGGTAATCACTGGAAAGGAGTTAGATGACGGAGGTCAGTTAAACAAACTTTAGTTGTTTGAACTTCAAAATCACACTTCCAACAATCTACTCCAAGAGCTAAGAGAAATCTCCATGATTTTACAACCATGTGTAGAAAATCTTCACTCCTACAGCCATAATTTAAAGTCTGATCTTACTAGATTGGGAGTGAGCTTTTGTGGACTTTATATATTACATAAAGTAGCAACTCATACTCATACACAGCTCAATTGTCGCGTCACAAAATCGAGGACTAAATCTGTTTGAAGTAACAAAAATAAAGTCCCCAGGGGTTATGTCATGCCTATTTTTCTCACAGTGAAAATTCTGACTTCTTTCTGGGAGGGGATATGCCAAGGCAAAAAGATCTGTGGTCCAGGTTTCCTCTGAAACAAATGGCAGCGATGTGGCACAGTTTTGACCAGCGCACTGCCGCAGAGAAAGCAACAGGAATGCACCCCTTCTCTCTTCCTCAGGAGACTCAAAGCCATGTCCCACCTTGCAAACTAAAGGAGGTGAAGAAAGGCAACAAATCTGGCTTTTGGGTGGCCTTGCTGGAAAGCTATTTACCTCCCGGTTTTTCGTGACAGGTGTGACCGATTTCTATGTGGTTAAGGTGGGATTTCACTGCCCAGTGGACTCTAAGAAGCCATACGTGACTTGCTCTTCCCTTTGCTGTGTTCTCAGAGGCTGCCCCACTTCTACTGTGATAATCACTGCCGACCTCATCAGCAGCTCGGAAGACTATAATGTATCTTATACCCAAAGCCAACACGCTGCTAACAAACCCTCAAAAGCAACAGGCCATGTCCACCAAGCTATGCTGTGCCCTCCTGGGGACCATGGGATGGAACAGAATGATGATCAAAGGAAAAGTATTCAAAATGCTGTTCCAGTAACCAGAGAAATGGGACACTTCAGGTTTAAGGAAAGCTTTCGAGACCCTGTGTCTCAACAGAGAAACACAAGTATGTGTGGGCATGACTAGATTATGGCAAAAACCAAACATCACTAACAAATGCAAGAGCTCAAAGACACTGCTGAGGGCTTAAGGGATAACCTGACTCAAAGGCCACTTCCTGCTTCCATGGGTCCCAAGGCACCAACCTTCTGTAGAAGGTAAAATTCTGTTTTTTTACTATGTGTGTGTGTGCATGCGCGCATGTACATATGTGTGTGAATAGACATGTGAACACTCCATACACACTCAGAAGCCAGAGAACATCGGCACTGGGGGTCCTCTCTTGTTCTCTGCCTTATTCCCTTGATTCGGGTTCTCTCACAGAAGCCCCAGTAATCGTCCCGTTTCCAGTTTCCAACTCCTTCCACCCCCCTCAATGTCCCATACACCCCCATCTTTGCCTACTGCTGGGGTTATAGGAGAGTGTGGTCAAACCTGGCTTTTTACATGGATACTTAAGATCTAAACCCAGACCCTCAATCATGGGCACCAAGCACTCCTACCCATCTCCCTACCCCCAAGCCATCTCCTGTCATGGACTACTACATAAACTATGTAAAGCTGTGCTACATTGGTTCATGCTGCATTTGTTTAATGATGTAAAGACATGTTGCTCTGCCTGCCTAATACACCTGATTGAGCTAATAAAAAGTTGAATGGCCAATAGCTAGGCAGTAGAGGGATAGATGGAGGGTAGTGGACAGAGAGAGTAAGTAGGAGGAGGAATTTAGGTTTGGGAGAAGAGAATGAGGAGAGGTAGCCACCAGACAGCAAGACACAGAGTAGGACATAAAGAATGAAAGAAAAGTAAAAAGTCCCAAGGCAAGATGTAGCTGAAGAGAAACAGGTTCATTTAAGTTATAAGGACTAAGCAGGACAAGCATAAGATAAGGCTGAGCGTTCATAACTAATAATGAGTTTGTAGTGATATTTTTTGTGTGTTTTAACAGATAAAACTTGCCTGAAGATCAGAGTGCAGAGCTTAGCCAATAGAGGCCAGGCAGTGGTGGCACACACCTTTAATCCCAGGACTCAGGAGACAGAGGCAGACCCATCTCTGTTAGTCCAAGGCTACCCTGGGTTATACAAAGTTGATCCAGTCTATAAGGGAAACAGAGCTCACACAGTGATTCCAGCACTTGAGATCCCACACCTTTAATCCGAGTACTACGGAGGTAGAGACAGGAGTGATATGGCTGGGAGGAGAGAGGAATATAAGGCAGGAGGAAACAGGAGCTCACTGCAGTCTGAGGACAGGATCACCTCTTTGGTCTGAGCATTGGTAGTGCTAAGAATTCTCCAGTGGCTAGTTGCTCTGTTGCTCTGATCTTCATCATTCTCCCCTGATAGCAGACTCTGAATTTTTATTATTAATTCGTGTTACATAAGTCTCCGTGTCATGATTTGGGAGTTGGTTGGTGGCCCAAAGAATGCCTACTACAATCCCCGAGACATAAAATTCCATAGTGAGTTCTCACTCCTCACATTGGCACAGTGTAAACTTCTAGAGCCCAGGAAGCTGGCAGTAACTATCAATAGATGTTAAATAGCTAAATAAGTAAATCAATGTATAGATTACTTTTTAAGAGACTTTATAAAGAATATACAATCTTCCAAAAGAAAGAAAAAATGAGTTGCATAAACAGTTCAACTGAACCAGCACGGTATTTTCATTGCTGAATGTCTCCAGTAAGAAGGGCTCTGCACCCACCACGGCTATTCACCCCCAGAACACTGTCTGGCGCTTTCCACCTAGCTTTTCTCTTAGTCTTCACAGCTCCACAGTCTGCAGCATCGCCTGCAGATGGGCACATGTTTAGAGGGAGATGAGGAGAATGGCTGAAGCCATTTACCTGGTCCTGGTAAAAGGCAGACCTGAGGAAGGTCAGTGTTCATGATCTGTTCCTCCGCACCTCCCGCATCAGTCTTTTATTAAAACGTTATTTGCAAACCACACATCGACATTAGCTCAGGAAACATTTGAAAGAACCTTCATGTAATATATGGACCCAAAAGTAACCTCAAGCACAGTTACCATTTGCCACATCCTAAGGCAGACATTGCTGCACGTGACCCTGACAGGGATTTACCAACGTATCTGAGCAACCATGGCATGCTTATGAAAAAGCTACTTATCCAACCTAGACAAGACTAAGATTTAAGTGTCCCTGAGAGTTAGAAGACCCATTAGAATCTGGATCTTAACTGTCTCCCCATCGAGTTGAAGGCTTGGTCCACCCCCCTCAACAACCCCTCACCCCACCCTCCAACAAAACCCCCTCCCCAGGGCACTATGCTGAGAGTTTGGAATCCTTAAGAAGGGGCATAGTAAGAGGTTTTCAGATCACTGGTCTGTGTTTAAAGGGAAAATGGGACCCTAATACCCTCCTTCCCTCTCCAGGCTCCCCACTCCCGCTCCCCTTCCTTCCCTCTCTGCTCCTGGCCAGGACAAGAGACTTCTTTGATCAAGCATTCCTGCAGTGCAGCAAAATGAAGCGTCCTTTGCTAAGTTGCCAGGCATGTAAGGTATTCTGTTACGGTCGCATACAGCCTGCACAGATCCCTCCTCGTATATGGTGCCCAAACACTACGGCACCCCTGTCATGGTTGGAGACCTCTGACCCTGGATGGCCTCACAGACGAAATCCACCGTTCCTTAGCTGGTTGGCCAAAACGGTGGGAAACAGTGAACTCCAGCGAGCCAAAATCAGGGTGGGGGAATTGACCAAAGAAAGACAAGTTTCAAAGGCCTACTGAACCACATTTGCAACACTTTTCCTTGAATAAATAATACCTCGTTAAAGCTGATGAAAACCTCAGCGGAAATATTTATCCAGTCAACATGGTAGTGACATAAGCTGTTATGATAACACACACACACAAACACACACACACACACACACACACACACACACAGTTCAACAACTTCATCAGTGCTCATGGGGAAGAAACAGACTCTCCACCCCCGAAACACTTGCTAATTATTTTGACACAATATGTGCCGTCGAAACGATCTGCTGCTGAAGGAAAGAGTGAACGACAACACATTAGCCTGAGCCGGCTGCTCCGCCACCCAGGTGATGCAACCCTGCAGGTCTGCAGCAACGAGGAGTGTTTTTCCAGGTCATCACGTCCGTCAAAATAAATGCCAAATCCCCATGTGGATGTGAAAACTGAATGCGTTAGAAGCCAAATTTATTTGAAATTATTAAGTGACAAGGCATATTTCCATTGTTTTCTCGCCCTTTCTGTTAGTTATCTCTGCTTTTAAAATTTTCCACACAGGGAAGCTTTTTACTTTAAAAAAAAAAATCTCAATTTAGGGTGATGTGGGATTTTTGTTTGTTTGTTTGTTTGTTTTTTCTTGTTGTTGTTTACCTCAATAGAAACTTTCTTTGTGATCTGACCTTTTAAAATCCCTCTTCCTTTGCTGAAGACACAGAGAAATAACTCCACTGAAGGATCCTTAGCATCAGGGTGCCATGGGAGAGCATGTCTTCCCGCTTTGTATTGTGGGGAAAGTATTGAAATGTAAGAAAGAAAGGAAAAAAGGAAGAAAAGAAAGAAAGTATATTTATCTCTTAAAAGAAAGTTAAGATAAAAGAAAAGAAGATAAATATACTTTCTTTCTTTTCTTCCTTTTTTCCTTTCTTTCTTACATTTCAATACTTTCCCCACAATACAAAGCGGGAAGACATGCTCTCCCATGGCACCCTGATGCTAAGGATCCTTCAGTGGAGTTATTTCTCTGTGTCTTCAGCAAAGGAAGAGGGATTTTAAAAGGTCAGATCACAAAGAAAGAGGAAGAAGACGGCTTTCAAAGGCAGTATCTGGTGCTGGCTTCGGTAGCACATATACTAAAATTGGAACGATACAGAGAAGATCAGCATGGCCCCTGCGCAGGGATGACACTCAAAAGCACTATTGGCAGCAGAGATGAACTCTGTTTTCAACTTCCTTCTCAATCTCAAACTACAGGCTTCCTAGCCAATTGGATCCTTTAAAAAAAAAAAAAAAAAAAAAAAAAAACTCACCTTGCAGCCTGGAAAACAGGCCAAAGGCACTGATGTTCCCCTTCACTTTTGAGCCTGCTGTGGGTCAATGGTCTTAGACCCTGTCACTTATATTGTATTGTTTTAATAGAATGCTGATTGGCCAGTAGCCAGGCAGGAAATATAGTTGGGGCGACCAGGCAGGAAGTAGTGAAGGGGCAACCAGACAGGAGAATTCTGGGAAGAGGAAAGACTCAGTCTGCAGTCTGCACCAACAGCAGAGGAAGCAAGATGAGAATGCCTCACTGATAAAGGTACAAAGCCACGTGGCTAACACAGACAAGAATTATGGGCTAATTTAACATATAAGAAAGAGTTAATAAGAAACTTGAGCTAACAGGCCAAGCAGTTTGTGATTAATGTAGACCTCTGTGTGTTTCTTTGGGACTGAATGGCTGAGAGACTGGGAAGGACAGAAACCTCTGTCAACATGAGCCCACACCAGAAAGAAACAGTTCCATGTATACAGTGAAATACTGAGGTCCATATGAAATTAGCTGCCACACAGGATACCAAGACTGGAGCTAAAGACACGTGTGTTACTGTAACTCTTCTCATGTTTCCGTTGTCTTTCCTTATTTCTTTCTCTGCATCTTTACGGCATTTTTCAGTAATTAGCAATGACTAACTTATCTCAAAAAGATGATATAAGCAGATAATCTACAAATAAATATAAGGAGTTATACTTAGCAGACCTCTGATTACACTGGACAGCTTTCTAGACATACAAAGTCTTAACATGAAAAGAATTCTTGGTTGGCTTGGGTTTTTTTTAATGTGTTTGCTTGTTTGAGCTTTTTATTTTGCTCTTATTTTATGTGCACAGGTGTTTTGCCTGCACACTCTTCTGTGCACTACATGAGTACAGAGCCTGTGGAGGCTAAAAGAGGGCATCAGATCCTCTGCAACAGGAGTGAGAAACGATTGTAAGATGCCATATTGGTGCTCAGAACCAAACCCAGGTCCTCTGGAAGAAGCAGTCAGTGCTCTTAATCATTGAGCCATCTCTTCTGCCCCTTTGTTTGTTTGTTTTGCTATTTTATTTTATTAAATATAAATTAAAGACATTCCACCATGAAAAGACAATTTTTTGGAAACTCGTGGAAAAAATGTACCAATAAGAAGCAATGTGCTGTTTCTCCTCCTGGCCCTGGACGGATCCGCTGTATTACGACCAGACTGGGGTACCACTATTCCTTCATGCTTTCTAATTTCCAACAGCATTTTCAGAATGATCATGTGATATGTTCATGAGCTCAAAGTTATCTTTAAGACCCTTAGTGAACAGAACTGGAGAGATGACTCCGTGGTTAAGACTCACACTTCCTACCAAAGGTAGGGAGTTCAGTTCCCAGCTCCCACATCAGACAGCTCACAACTACCTGTAACTCCAGCTTTGGGGCTCTCCAATACCACTGGCCTCCATGAGCACCTTCACTCGCAATAACCCACAGACCACTCAAATACACAAAATTAAAAGTAAAACTTTTAATTAAGAAAACTCTTCGATACTACCAAGATGTAAATCCTATTTTTATTCATATCGTAGGGTAAATTATACATGTTTATAAATTTTGAAGCATGGTGACAAGTAACATTGACCAAAATTAAATTTATAATTTTAAAACGATTTCTGATCATGTGTCACCAGAATGTATCTGATTTGGGAACAAAATCATGTTAATTATTTTGAAGTTATTTTCTAAATCAATAAACTAATGCATGTATTTTATAGCCATCTATATCTGAATTATAAATAAAGGGGAAAACTGAGCATGTTTTATACTTTATGCCATTTATTCTTGGCCAATTATTAAAATGTATTTGTTATACTTCTGTACTGGCTAGTTTTATATGTCAACTTGAAACAAGCTAAAGTCATCCGAGAAGAAGAAGCCTCGATTGAGAAAATATTTGACTGTAGGCAAGCCCGTAGAGTATTTGCTGAATTAGTGATTTAAGGGGGAGGACCCAGCCCCTTATAGGTAGTGCCATCCCTGGGCAAGTGGTCCTGGATTTTATAAGAAAGCAGGCTGAGTAAGCCACAGGGAACAAGCCAGTAAGCAGAACCCCTCGATGGCCTCTGCAACTCCTCCTCCAGGTTCTTGTCCTGAGTGAATTCCTGCCCTCATTGTTTTTTTGATGATGAACTGTTATATGGAACTCAACTCCCCATGGTGCTTTTGACCATGGGGTTTCATGACAACAATAGTAACCCTAACTTAGACAATTTGATACACAGTATTACATTATATGTTATTATACTGGGACTATAAAGTACACATTTCTATTTACATGTATGAACACATATTTCTGTGTGTATGAACAGAAATGTGTGTTCATCATATAAACAAGAATATACAAAATGCAAAAAATAATGTGTACAGCCTGCACTGGCTAAGATTTCTAGCAGAGGCACCTGCCCATCCAGTTCCTGCCTTGATCAACCTGACCAACTAGTTTGAGCTAACAAGAGTTCTGACTTACTTTTTCTACTCCAGTGGCCTATTATTTAACCAAATAAGTAAAGAATAATTGCAGCTTAGAAATCTCATTCCTCCGACTTTCCCTTACCCGGACACCAATACAACAGTCACTTTGACTCTATCAATTAGTCATTTATTTGCTCCTTAGGAATTTTGTTACAGAGCAGGGAGATTATAGAATGTAGCAGCTCGCAGACAATGAGTGTTTCTCAAGGTTTAATACTCCCGAACATCTCGCTGCTGAAAACCTAATCTCTAAATTCCTTCCAAGAGAAGCAGAATGGGAATTGTCCTGGTGTTTCAGATTTTCACCAGAACTCTTGATACGCCTGACAATAAGAGCTGTTCTTTTGCAGATTCACAGGCTTTGTTGCCCGTGGCCAAGTGAGACTTGAAGGCATCCACACTCAGGAGCCCATAGAGCAGTAAAAGAATCTTCGAAGACAATCTAATTGTTCCCATTCCTGCCTTCTTTACCTGCCCCACCAAGTACCCGAAGCCATCCTCATAAACGTGGCTATCTGCAATGAGGAAGGCTGCTAACCCATTGGCTATCTGGATGCTCGCTCGCTCACAGAGACTCATGGCAACGGTCCCTGTGAGTGTGGAGCACTCACACCTGGCTGGTGCTGCCTGCCATTACAAAACAGTCAACAGAGGCCCGGGGAAAATAGAGACGGGCTGTGCCTCAAAGTCGGATAGTAGAAGAAGTTCCCTGCGGGCCAAGTGTGCGGGCCTTCCTGAGATCGTCATTTTCGATGATTCTGTTAAGAGCCCCATCCAAATAAACTTCCTGAACAGAGGCACAAGAACAATCCAGTGAAGTGCCACTAGAGGAGAGGTGCTAAATTCTGAAGTAGTTATCTGGACAGGGAACACTTTGACCAAAGTCATATAATCCAATGATTTTGCAAGAAATTCCAAAGGATAGGTCGGGGGAAGTGTGAGAAAGAAGAGTCAAGCAGCCAACAGCTCTGCTAAGTGCAGCAGCCTTGGCCCGATCCTGTACGGACTACCTTTCTTCCTTATGGCTGATGACCAAGCCTCGGTCAGCTGGAAGAACGGATATTAAGAGAAGACATAACAAACTGGATAAAAGAATGGACACTCTGATTGACAATTGGGTACATTATTTTTTAGTATTCAAAATTAGGTTGCCCCAAATATATTATGATGACTCAAAATTATATGGTATGCCAAACATACCATTCAATAGAGAGGATGGAGAAAATAAAGGTATTTTCTGCTTGTTTTGTAATGTGATCCAGTCAACAAACCAGTTACACTGAGGATCTACCCTGTAGATTTGTTTCCATGAACTTCAGTCACAGAGAAAACTGAGACAACACCGAAAAAGCGGAAGTTCAATGCATTTCAGAAGCCTTCACCCCACAGCCCAACTCTATCAAGGTGACCTTGCACGGAGAGAGACTGAACATCTCACCCGGACAGTCAAGCTTGCCAGAAGAAGTCCAATTATTCAATCAATCAATCTCTACAAAGAGACTCGTGCGCCCTTTGGGTATGAAATACACAAATGCTTTGAAAAAAGATCAGGCAAAATGGACTTGAACAGAGAGCTCGCGGCGCAGAAAGCAGCCCCTCCTGGTAATAAAAACAGAGACCTGAGAGCAAGCTCAGCAAGCCCAAGCCTTCACTTATCTCCCTTCACAGGGAGAATGGTGGGGCTTGCTTCAGGAGAGTCAGTCAGGGCATGGCCAGCTACCAAGCCATTCTCCCAACTCCTTTCTTAGAGCCTTTTCTCATATCCTGAGAACCTCCAAGGTGAGCATTTTCATCAGGGATACAATACTCAACTTGATCAAAATCGCTGGTTGGGTTGTTAGGTACTGACAGCCTAGATGACCTGGGGAAAGAAACACAGAGGAAGAGACCTTGAGGGCATCTGCCTCCAGCTCAACCATGGCAACGTGCTTCCTTTGCAGTCTGGAACCAATGATTTCAACAAGACTGTTTCCTTATCCACAGAATTAGGTTATCACCACAAACCTCACAGGACAGAAAAAAAAAAAATCAATGAGGAAGGAATCACTATTGCCCACAGTCATTTGGCCTGTCAGGGACAACTCTGGGTGGCAATGACACACACTCCTACCAAGTTTCCTAAGCTTCCTCCAGAAGACTGTCCGGAGTCCCAAGCTTTGACAAGACACTTAGAAAATGTCAGTTTCCTTCCCAGACATCGATGCTGTACCTGAGAGTGACTTCAAAGAGCCCGTGACCATGGACTGTGTATGACATGTATCCTCTTGTGTCTACACAAATGAGTTTCAGATGTTCACATTTTCGTGAGGCTTTGCCTCTCTTCACAAGAGCAAAGTGAACTACGGAGGGGGTGAAGAATTCCAACGATGACTTAATCCCCACCACCTCCTCTATTC